CTGCTGTCGCAAATTCACCCACGGAGGACCTTGATGTCTGATCTGGGGCCCCGATGGCACAATCTGGTGTGATCTGGCGCATCCCATGGTGAAAATGGTCGAGAATGCATGGTACGGTGTGGTTTTGGGTTCTTTGGCTTGAGCTTCTTTCTTCCTTCCTCAATAGGGTCAAATACCCTTGCATCGTGTCCCTCGGACTCGAAGTGCAACCGTCTCGGTAGTAATGGATCAATCTGCCTCTAGCTTGCTTGCTTTGCGGCTCTTTTGTCCTGAAAATCCTGGAATGTCCTGCTGGACTCGAACTCTGCCCTTTTCTTGCCGGTATGGCTCATTCTGGGCCAGAATGTTCGTTTCTTCCACACAATGGATTTCCCTGGGTTAAAATAACCCTCTTCTTGACTCTGGCGAGCTATTCTATGCTAGAACAGCCTCACTTAGTCCAACTAAGGAATCTTGGGTCTGAATGGGCCATGTTGTCTTCCCATTCCTATAGCGCCATTAAACACCTCTTGTTAAAAAAACCTTAAGCAAGGAAAAAACAAGGTGAAGGTAGCTATACTCAATCCGTTGAGTTACTTCCCCTCTTCTGAGAAGTTTGACCCGAACTGGCACGATTTAATCTTTTGCCATGTATTCCTCTGCTCTTCTAGAACGCTTTCAATGCGTTTGAGCTAATGTTGGGTCCAGGTTCCCACGAGTTCTCCTCAGATGGATAACCTTCCCATTTCACAAGATATTCCCATACTCCGACTGGATTCTGTCTCCGGTCGAGTATTTTCTCCACATAGTACACATCATCCCCCATGGCGCGTAGAGTGTCCACAATTGGTTCTGATTGCGACTCAAGACGCCCTTTCTGGGTATATGGCTCCAAAAGTGAGACATGGAACACTGGATGAACTTCTCCTAGATTAGGTAGGTCCACTTTGTACGCCTCTGCGCTAATCTGGGCCACAACTTTCCCTGGTCTTAAGAACTTCTAGTCTAACTTCTTCTTTGGCCTTGTTGATTTCATGTGTCTATTGGAGACTAATACCTTGTCTCCCACTTGCAGCTGTATATGCTTCTGTCGTTTGTCTGCATACTTCTTTTGATACGCATTTGCAGCAACGATTTTCCGGCGGCATTTTGACTGTAGAGCAAGTGCTTTCGCGGCAACTCTGTTTGCCATGTGTGATTCCCCCCGACCCAGGGGTTCTCCGGGCCAATCTGGCCCTCTTGGGTTCGCTCTGTGGTATGCTCGGAAAGGAGTAACTCCTGTGGTCGCGTGTACGCTATTGTTGTACGCGAACTCCGCTATTGGCAACCACATTGCCTAATCATCTTGTTCCAGGCAACAGTAACATCTGAGGTACTGTTCTAGGGTTTGGTTTTGTCTTTCAGTCTGCCCATCGGTCTCGGGATGGTAGGCTGACGAGAGAATCCTTTGCGTGCCGAGATAGTGATAAAAACTATCCTAGTACTTTGAGTTCATTATTGGCCCTTGATCAGAGACAATGTTCTTTGGAACTCCATGAAGGCGAACAACTTCTCTTAACCAAACCTTTGCTAGGTCTGAAGCCTCCTAATCAGCTCTGGCCGGCACGTAGTGGGCTATCTTGGTAAGACGGTCCACTATCACGAGGATCGCATCGTATACTGACCCTAAGTATTTACAAGGGGGTAGCTGCGTTATGAAATCCATTGTGACATCCTGCCAGGGCCCATCAGGCGGTGGCAAAGGGTGAAGGAGCCCATATGGGCGGTGTCGTGGAGCCACTGATCGTCTGCACCTTAGGCAGTCGTTACAGTACGCCTCTACGTCCTTCCTGAGCCCTTTCTAATCATATTGACGCATGATCTTTTCGAGCGTCTTTTTCACACTGAAGTGGCCCGCTAATGGGCTGTTGTGGCACTCCCAGAACGCTTCTGCCTTCTCTTGGTCTGTTGTTAGGGTCTTTCTTCCTGTATCGGCCATGGCATGTCGTTCCGGCCCATTCTGGGGATGAGTGTCTTCGTCGAGGTTCTCTTCGTCCTCCGTTTCACTCTCGGTGTCCGATGAGTCCGTTTCGTCATAGTCTTCTCCAATACCTGACATGAGGTCCTCATCGTCGTCCTCCTCTGGTTCTTCGCCTATAGCTCTTTCGGGATCTGGCCGTTTTGGCCCTTGTCCTCTTTTGGGGCGGTCCCTAGCTAAGCCTGAAGAATCTTGAGAACGTGTAATGGCTGCAACTAT